AAAGTATACACACTATTCTACGTATATCTCCCTGAACCCTTCAGTGGAAGATTCAATACAATTAATATACCATTTCATGCCCTTGGCATAAATCCTATCCTTCCTAGACTTTAATTTTTGCTAAAAGAAACAGTTAGTCATTTTGGTCCTGGGTCCTGAAAACTGCTTACCCACACAGTTATCCAAAATATGCACCTATACACACTTAATGCCAATCATGCTCCAACAATGTGGGTACTGTGGTATTAGCTGGCCCAAAATTAACAAGCTTCCCTCATTTTCAAAGCTTCCAATAGCAGTCCTGAAACCATTAGGAGTCTTGAAAGTGAGGAGAGCTATCACAGTTATAACTAATACCACAACACTGATAGCGCTGCAAGAAAAAACATTCAGCACTATCATTGCTCTAGTATTAGCAGCACCAAAACCATCTAGCTTCCCTCATTTTCAAGGCTCTATTTGTCAGTTCTAAAAGTTTGGGGTCAACTATTAGTAGCCTTGAAAATGAAGGGAGATAGCCATGAAAAGAAGGAAACCTAGTCCCTTTCAGGGCTTCTAAATAGCAGATCACTAATAGCTACTTTCCCATCATTCTTTCCTATATAAACTGAGTATAATTAGCTACAAAGTAAACCCAGTTAGTCACTAAACAGTTAAGCTGAAAACAAGTTAGATAGTAGACTGAAAGAATATGCGGCACATTGAAGCTGGTACTCTGTTATGCTGTTAAGCAAAACTGTGCATTTACGTTTAAGTATGTGTAAATGGAGGACACTGAAGAGTGTTAGCTGGTAAAAACAAGGTTAACATTTGCAGGTGACATTAGACTTATCACAGAGGTTTGTCCCAACCTAATCTAGACACTGCAATCCGTTCAGTTAAACCTGGACCCCATGTTCTAGGCCAGAAGAGGGAAGGCTCTTCAATTGCAAGACTGAGGGGGAGGGGAGTGTGGGGGATGATAGGATTAGAAATTTGCACCACCACAGCTGTACTCCTTCTCTTGCTGATCCTTTACTTGATGTTTAAAAGGAATGCTTTTTGGTTCAGTGGCAGCCTTTGCTTTCTTTGTACAATCGCCTAAAACAATGAAGTCCTACTCACCATAGGGTTTTCATAGTAAAAACATTTTCTGCAGTGGTAAGAGGCTGAAAGGAACAAGAGGAAAATCCCACCACACACCATCCATTTAATTCCCCTGAAACCCATCTAAAGAACATAGGGGACTAGAATAAATATGAAAGACAAACCTGTCAAATCTCCCTACCTGCATATGAAATATTAGGCATTAGCCATGAACATTATGAGATCATATCCCAACGAAACATGGGATTAGCACTTTATCCCTGATGCCTATAAAATAAAGTGTTTAAGCGCTCTCATTTTTCAGCCCTGTTCAATGAGAACTGCCACATTCTTCCCTCTGCACATTTCAAGCTGTCACTATTTTCCCCCATTAAAGTTAATGTAGCTGTCGTCAGGGTAACAATCACAAATCTTCAATGATAACATCTGAGCTTTCCCCTTCACCCTACCCCCTCTGCTGTTAAGTCCTGACCTCTCCGCACATTCTGAAGGCTACTGTAAATCAAGTAAACTCAAGCCATAGGAGGGAGAAAGAGCAGCTCTCCCAGACTGACAGCCACTGCCCAAATTAAAAGCTACCAGGATGAGCATGTCACAAAAACTGCTCTCAAAGGAATCTTAACTTTAAGTGCCTGCTTAAAGCAGTTCTTGATATAAGGCAGAAAAAGAACTATTTTAATTCTGAAATGGTTGCAGATGAGAAGGCACACCACTGTTTTAAAACAGTGAACCAGCTTAAGTTGAAAACAGGATTTGATGTTCATCCATCTTACAAATGATATCTTCCACACACATGCATACTGCTCTGCTAAACTGCATTCTGACTTTTAAAGCAGAGCCTGCTGCACTGTACCCTAAACACTGGGAATAAGTAAGACCATTTTTTCCCCTTTAGGTGTAGCAGGTTTCCCATAAAAGTTTATTTTTGTTTTTTGTTTTGTTTTTAAATATACAAGCCTAAGATGATAACAACTATTGAACAAAAGCACATATGCACCACTTCTGAGAGATGGTAACCAAGATGGGCCAACATTTTACTGGGGCAAGAACTGGGAAGTGAAAACCACCCACTCATTCTGAAGGTAGGTCATCTCCTGATGTCCTATTAACATGAGGTAGTAAAATATTAAGATAGGGAACTGAAGACAGAGAGTGAGGACCTGAGATAAAGCTTCATGGCTTCAAAACAAGAGTCTTTAGATCAAGCCTGGCTAACTTGCCTAAGGTGAAACAAGGATTTGGTAGCAGAGGAAGGATTCGAACATTCTTCCCTCTAGGCTGAAAGCAAAAAAATTTTAAAAAATAAAAAATTAAAAAATTAAAAAAAATCGCATTAACTATTATAAACAATTATTTCATGAGAGCTGCAAAGCATGCTTCTCTAGGCCACAAAAGAGAAAGTTATTTTTTAAATGTGATCCACAATCACTGGAATGACTTGAAATAGGTGAAAGACATATGTCACAAATCTGAACACATCCCAGTTGCAGAGATAACTGGATCATTTTCCATTTGCTAAATGTGGTAGATAATGAATATGATTCATTATTATGCAAAGCTCAAAACATGGATTTGTGATTTTATTCATACAACGGGTTTTATAGCAGCATCTCAATATTAAGTATGGTTTCTAGATGCAGCATCTGATGAAGTGAGCCTGGGCTCATGAAAGCATATGCATCTCTCATTTAGTTGGTTTATAAAGTGCATCACAGGATTCCTGACTTCAGCTGTGTTAATCTGAACTTGGCAAATACATCTTTCTAGATACCTATAACATTCAGTTCCATTTTGCTGACTGTTGGTGCAAATGCAGCAAGACTGTTATGCTGGACCAACTCAGTACTGTGGAAAGCACAAGAAAACCTGAGTGACATGTTATGGAATGCCATGCCATCACTTTTCTGAGACCTAACCTAGACAGTCTATAGCCATGGATTGCTACAATAGTAAACTGTCCTGAGCTTACTTCAAGGGTCCTGCACACATATATATTAAAGGCATTTGTCGACTCTGCATGGAGACAATACATTAATAGACATCATTAAGCCTCAATGCTTTTTAGCATCACTGTTAGCTATTTTATTGATCATTTTAACATAAAATCCATCTGTGTCATCACTGGCACAACTGAGTGAGTAGCATGTCCTATTTCTTTTTCATGCCGATCCCTCATTGGTATTGGGACGGAACCGCCCCCCCCTGAAAAGTGACAGCATTTGCTTAACAGTCATCTTAACTCAAGCAAGTCTTTGGCCACAAGTATTTGCTTGAGGTAGGAGCTAATTCAGACTTTCTGGAACCAGCTGTTAAGGATTGGCTGTATGTCCTAAGCTAAACAGTTACAAATTAACAAAAAATAGGCCTCTGAAGAAGCTTGAGAGCATCAAGTTTGGGGGCCAATTCAAAATTCCCATAGGAATTTGATCTTCATTTTACAGGAGAGAGAATTGGTGACCTGCCCTCAGAATTAAAATAAAGCCTTGTTCATATTATATCTCTGCCTGTGCCCTCCCAGCCCCACATCAACCTGATGAATTGAAGTGGATTTCACATCCCTGGGCCCTGCACACTCAGAATGAGATGGAACCTCTTTTACCAATTGTAATTATGGACCTTCCAGGAAAAGTGGGTCATGGCTTGTTCCTCTTTTTTAAGCTGCACAGGCGAATCCAGATCCATTTCCAGGGAGGGATGTTTAGAAATCAGTGACTTGGCTTATTTTGTCCTCTTTTCTTTCACTTTTGAAACAAGTCCCCCCCACCACCCCAGTTTTCCAGATTTGTTTATTAGCAGTACTAACACTACTGGAAGGTTCTCAGTGCTTCAGATATGTCATCATTATGTTAAAAGAAAGCTCACATGGAGGTTACACCAAACTTTTCAAAGTTAATGAAACAGCGTTAGGAAATAATTGAAGAAAGATTTTCTTTTCAACTATAATGTCCAGGCACGAGCAAGGAAGCACTGACAACACAGGAGATCTCCATGCAGTTCATTTTGCCAAAAGGCATCACAGTAGCTTCAAGGAAGCAACTGCAGGAATAATCCTGCTTATTTCGAGAAGAAACATGCTCAGCCACTCTGGAGACGCCACACACAGTGCAATTATATAGCTGTGAGGTGACTAAGAAAGTTTACTGCATCTAAAAAGTCTCTTCTAAGCACATCTGAAAAGATTTCTTCAGTTTATAACTTAATCCAATTTTGCTACATTTCTCCACCAAGACAGTATGGGGTTTTTTTACTATCAGGTTGTCCCACCACTAAATTTAAAGTCCCTGGGACACTAGAGCTTCTTATTAATTCTAAACATTGTTTTCCCTTGTAAAAGGCACACAGAATTTGTGCCACTGATTAGATGTTCCAATTGAATTATAAAATAATTGTTCCAATTAACATGTTGTGGGCCCAATCCTGACTTAGAGTTGCAAGAATTCAGTATTTCAGGGGGACAAGTAACTTTTAGGTTCACACATTATTTTCAGTCTTTGAATAAGAGTAAATCAATTTAATTAGAATTTATTATAATCCATTTAACATGAAGTAACCTGCATAGCACCCAAAGACCCTGTTCTTCCTCCCAATTACATAACAAAATCCTTGCCTCAATCAAGTACTTTTCAAAAGTTCACTGTTCTACAGTTTGTATTAGTTATGGGTAAAAAAAAAAAAACGTGTTCCCTCTTCTTCTGTTTGGCACTCTATTCTTCTGAAAGGTTTGCTAAAAGCTTACCAGGTAAAGAGAGAGGCAGAGATGCTCTCTGTTGCAAGAGAACCATAAATTGAACTCAGAGGACTTGTCCAGAAGACCACAATGGCTGATTGAATGAAAAACATTGATTTTATCTAGAAGTCTCAACACAGATGTCCTTTGCAAATGAAAGCAGAAAGCAAAACAAAATACAGCTTGGCCCAGTTTAGCACACTTCATTTACTATTTCATAATATCAGTGATTTTCTTTTTTTAGATCTGTTCAATAAAAGAAACAAAACTTTGTATAATAGATTACATCACTGCAGATATTGCACAGGCTAGTTCACCTGGGCATCACAGAAGGACGACAGAGAGATTCCTTCTTACAGTGCTAAGCATGATTAGGTCCAGAGCAAGAAAATGAAACTAGATATGTAAGTGGGGAACCAGTCATTTGAATATCCACAGTTGTCTTATTTTAGCTGTTTGGTTAGAGATTCTGTATTAATAGTGGACAACATAATGAACCACAGGTAGCCTTTTCTCAGAATACCCACAACTGTCTATTGACCTCCAAAGGCATTCAGTGGGTCATCAAATATACTCTGTGCCTTGGTTTCGGTTTTTACTTCAGAGGCTGTTTGAGAAGATGATTGGCCTTTGGGAGTGGATATTTTGACCTGGCTGCTAGAGAAGATGTCATCTACAGAGGAAGAAAAAAGGGGGTGGGGGAGAGGAATAATTAGAAAAGAGAAGGAAAAAAAAAAAAAATCACACACACACAAAATCCCTAACATGTAGCAGTGCCTCTAAAACATCCTTGGTTTGATGCTTTTTTGCCACATGCAATATTAAATGCACTTCTGAGGGCACATGTGGGAGCTTTTGTTTGAGTTTACAGGAATATTCAAACTGAGAAAGGACAACAAAAAAGTCAATACTATTTTACACTACACTACAGCCAAGTATATTAAAGCAGTTGACATGCATTAAGTTACTAAGCCTCAAAAACATTGAGGGTATAGACATCCAACACGACTAAATTAACCTGGGGCCCAAAACTGATGGAACTTCCACTAGCATCTAGAGCAGTGCTTAACCTGTTTGGCTTTGTGGGTTGGATGAGTGGTGCGGGGCCAGGTCTTGCTTGCAGGCTGTAGACTAAACACTACTGGTCTAAAGCTGGGTACTGGGGGGCTCGGCCCCCAGTACCATGCTATCCAGCCCTCAGAGCTCCCCATGGTCTGGAAATTTGGAGGTGTAAGAGCAGTAGCACTGCTCCCCTACCACCACATTTCAAGACCAATGGTGAGCCTCAGGACTGGGTGCCTGATTACAGTGCACTGGTCTTGTCTGCTAGGACCCAATCCCAACATGCAGGGAAGATGCCAGTTGTGAGGGCTCAATCCCAATATGCAAGGCCAGGATGGGGTGGTGCTGGGCTCCAGGGCCCAATCCTAGTATATTTGGCCAGGTAGAGGCAGTGCTGGGCCATGGGCCCAATCCTAGAGTGTAGGGGCCAGCCAAGGCCCCTTCTTGGCCTGTGGGGCTCAATTCAGTCCACAGACTGTCCTGTACCACTCATCTGGCTCTCGGGGCCAAAAGCTCGATCATCACTGGTCTGCTCCTGAAGTAGATGCCCAAAGGCTGTAACAGGATTTCACCAGCAGCTGGCCCAGAGGTGGTAACAGACTGCAAATGGCCCATGCCAGGATGAAACCAATCAGAGCCATAAACACAGGAACAGAACCGTTGCGTACAGTAGAAGTGGCCAACCTGCAGCATGTGCCACAGGTGGCACCAACAGCCTCTGTATGTGGCATGCAGAAGATCCGGGAGGGAACAGCCAGTACACAACAGCAGATAGGGTGGGAAGCAGAACAGCAGGTTGGGCAGGGAGCACAGGGTAGGAAGCAGACAGCAGAGCACCAAGTTGGGTAGGGGAAAGGGATCAGTGGCACATTGGCCAAAAAGTTGACCCCCACTCCTGACTTTATTCCAATGCAAAGCTCTCTCTCATAGCGACTCATATCAGTGTGGGGTTGTACATCAACTATCTACTCCACTTTTATACTGGAATGGATGTAGAATACACTGTGTAAATTTGTTCCTATCCCACCCTGGGTGTTTATGTTTTAAGCTTACATCTCCAAGCATACAGTCCCTTCCACAGTTCTGGGTGCACACAAAGCAGCAAGAGGAACAGGATACTCTAGCCCCTCATCTAGGTCCTGGCACTATTTACAAGCTGAAGGCTGGAACGTGTGAACCAGAGATCAGTGGTAGGCCATCACTTCATGCTAATCTTCCTGTTCGAGCTACCCCACCCCCATTGGCACCTGTACATAACTGTGCTGATCATAGGGATACACAGGATTAATCCAGGATGCAATTTCATCACAAGAGCAGTCTAGAAAGGCAGCCATATGGAGAAAATCCTTACTGGCATTCCCCCAAAATGCGAACCCACCAAAGGGTTTAGCTTTACAGCCAATTAGGGTGTGCGCAGCTTCCAGGAGAAGTGTTCTAGGTACTGCACAGATGTACCAGGGGGTGAAGCTGCAACCCTATTTGACAGTAAGGTTAAAACAAGTAGGCAGGGAAGAAGGGAGTTTCTTCTGTCAAGGAAAGCAACATTTACTACTTGAAGAGAAAAATCCTCAAAAAACTGTGGGGTACAGGACTCTGAACACGGACAAGGATGATGCCAAGATAATCCTCAGCAGCGGTGATATCTGTCAGCATAAGAGGCAGAACAAAGATCAGATTTATGGGGAGACTGAAAAGAGATAGTTCCTCAGTTCAGCAATGATTGCAAGTGGCAGTGAAGCAAAGCAAGGGAAACAGTTTGCAAATACAATAGTACCTTAAAAGGTACAGCTTGAAAGAAGCATTTCAGGTAGGAAAAACATCCTCAGAGGCAGTGGCCACCTTACTAAAATATCATGGTAAACACTGCAAACAACTCTTAGTTAAAGCAACCAGGGAATGCCACCCCAATTCCCTTCTGGGATTGCCATGTTGATCAACCTCAAGTATGTTCCCTGAAGCACTGTTGGTGTTTTACAGCCCCACAGTAGAGCATGTACTACACAGCCTGGGCAACTGAAAAGCTTCCCATGCAAGGATCTTTCAACTCAAAAAAACTCTTGAGCAGAGCATGGGAGGAGCAGGATATAAACTTTTCTGATTGAAGCAGTGCTCCAACTACACCAGTGCTAGAAATGCCCCTGGCTAATAGTGAGCTCCTGTATTAGGTTAAGACTAGACCAGTCCAAGTGAAAAGGGTCTAGTTCCACAAGCACCTTAAAAAGTTATATGAAAGATTTTAAATGGGAAGAGTCTTGATGCCTTCAAACGCTTCCAAAACTAAGAGTCCTGTTTTTTGGATAGAAATTAATTTACAAGTTAGGAAAACAAACAAAAATGCCACAACCAAAATGAAGCGTTTTAATCCAGGGGTTTTCAACCTTTTTTAATAAGTATACCTCCAGTGGCCCCTTTTTAGTAAGTGTACCCCGAAAGGGGGTTGGCAAGCAGCCAGACGCAAGGGGTGGAGGGAGGGGCTAGGTGCAGCAGTGCAGTGTCTGTGGGGCCCTGCTCTCACTCTGCCGCAGTCCTGCTCCTGTGAGGCAGTGGTGCATGGTGGCTGCACTCCATCCCTACATACCTTCTGAGACCTTTCAAAGTACCCCCAGGAGTATGCATACCCCTGGGTGACAACCCCCGTTTTATTCTACACAATGCAGATTTAAGGTATTTAGTTTGCAAAAGTTTGGCATTTTGATTTGGGATGGGAAATCTTAAATTCTTATGAGTTAGGAAAATACCCTCCCATCCAGTTGCAGTTTTATTGCTTTGGATATTTAACCTTAGCGTGGACAAAAGTATTTTCCACCTACTATAAGGCAGAGGGGAGAAACTAATACTTCATGAGATCCATTGGGGTTAATTCCTAGGGTCTGTTAAATCAAATGCTTTAGAACCAGGATGTCAAGCACACAGCCCATGGAGTCATTTGATCTGGCTCACGGGTCTTGGACTGAACTCCTGTGCTGCGATCCAATCCTGGATGCTGCATACATCACATGTTGCTGTGCACAGAGGGCCAGCATGGGGCTTGGACAGGCTTTTCAAAAGCCCAGTGTTATATTTAGCCAGTCTGTACTAACCTTACTCACTGTTTAGTACCCAAAGCATTAGTCCTAATAAAATTAGTGAGATCCATTTGTCTAATGACAGAATACTCTGCATAATTAAGATCAACACAAAAACCTGGCCTTTAATGTTAACGCTAGTGAGGTACGTGTCCTTATCAATACCTATCATAATGTGTATATCCAGTGAGAGGGTGCATCTCTCCCAGTACTGGATACATAATGATCTATGACATGACTTTTCACTCTGATTTCAGAATGAGAAACTTGCTTGAAATCTCAAAATTCTAAAGCGGCAGAAAACAGGTTTCAGAAACAGGATTTCTCTTCTGAAGACAAATGGGCTATTATAATTATAAGCATCTGGACGGCTGTGCTCAGTGGGTAAACACTGATAGTACTATAGTCTGTAGACAAAGTGAGGGCAGGAAAAAAAGGGACCTAGAAAGTTCTAATGACTATCTTTTGTTGTTGGGGGACTTTAACTCACAGCAGCATCATAATGCCAGTCATAACCAAACACTTACCCATATCATCATCAAATATGGATTTGGATTCCACTTTTTTCTTGGTCTTCTTTTCTTTTGGCTTTACAGTAAGATCGGCAAAAATATCAATGTTATCATCATCAAACAGATTAGCCTCCAGCACTTTCTCTTTTGTCTTGCTAGGTGGCTTAATTGCTTCTGTTGCAAAGATGTCATCCTTGGAACAAACCATACATAAGTAGTCAGTACAGAATACACTCTGATAACCAAGCATTCAAATTTGGCTGCATGAAGCGGTAGGAAGAATAACCTAAAACTACTATGGGCATCATTAGGTCAGAGTCACGTGTTCTATTTAGACCTGACAAAAATGCATTAATCACCGACTGCACAAGGCCTGACCACAACATATGCCAGGCACAGTTAGGAAGACTGTGTAGAGTCCCCAGGATCCCTGATGTACTCCTGTTTTAAAAATCAGTGTTTCTGTGTAGCAAGTTACCTCTCTCAAACAGCAGCAGTCAGGCAAAATGGAGGTTAGGTACCATGGTATGGAAAGGGTCAGACTTACTGTATTTATTCAAATTTAAGATGACCACCAATTATTAGATTCTATACATGGAAAATGTATAAATGTTATGATTTTCCACGTGTAGAATCTAATTATTGAAGGGGTGTCTTAAATTCATGCCCCCCACTGCTGCAGGGGGACAAACAGTGTGGGCGCAGATGGCGTGGGGAGGACAAGCAGCTTGCCCCCTACCACCTGGTGCCCTATGTCTGCCCCCCTACCCCTACAGCCTCAGGCTCCCTTTCCACCTTTGCCCCCTCATGCCTGTGCTTCTTCCCTCCCTCCACCTCCCTTCCCAGCCTCTGCTCTGTATTGTGCCAGTGGGCCACATCCCTGTTCTAGCTTGGGGCATGGATGACGGCCCCAGTCCAGCGCCCACAGCACCGCATAGCTGTGCCCCAGGCTGGGGCCTGGCTCAGTGCCCTAAGCTGCAGTGTGGATGGAACCTGCCAGCAAAGAGCAAAGGTGGGGGAAGGCAGAGAGGCAGGTGGGGGAGCAGAGGCTACATTGCTGGGGGGCGGGGGAAGAGGCTCTAGGGAGATGGTGGCATACAGGGCAATAGGGAGGTAGAGGGGGCAAGGAAAGGTAGCTGCAGCCCTGGTCCTGATGCTGGTTAGGGGCTGGAGCCCCAGCCACAGCAGCTACCTGCCCCCCTTCCCCAGCAATTCGAAGATGAGAGGCTCCCCCCGCCATGTTAAAATGGAAGGAAAGCTTCATCTTGGAATCAAACGGTATTTTTTTTTACCTCTACAAAAACAACTATTGTCTGCCAACATTTGAGCATCCCATGCTGAGGGCTTACTCCTACTATATCCATGCATAGCTTTCACCAAGGTGATGCTAAAACAGTATTTTCCATCAGGATCTACAGGACTGAAGTCCTAATTATAATATTCCTCCCCACCCTGCTGCACATCATTACCTCAAAGATACTGGTGTCTAGGTCTTGCGAGATGCCAGGTTTCAATTCTTTCTTCTTTGGAGTTTTCTGACTTGTGAAGAGATTGTCTTCATCCTCCAAGAAAGAGCTGGGGCTGCTCTTCTGGGAAGACTTTTGTTTTACAGGCTGGAAGAGATCATCACTACCCTGATCATCAAGCACTGACAAAGCAGGCTTCTCACCACTTTTGACAAGCCTACCAACCAAATTTTCTATGCCTTCCTCTTTTGCCTTAGGCCTGGCTGCTGACTTTAGCATTGAGCTTTTCTCAAAGAGGTCATCAGATTCAAAGAAATCATCCCCTGGGCCTGTGGGTTTTGCCGAAGGGCTTCTGTCCATCTCAGGTGACAGGTTGCTGCCATCTGCTGGCAACGATTTTCGAGCTGCAGAACCACCTTCGACACTTTCCTTTGAACCTGGCTCACCACTTAGAGGCTCCTTTGCATCCAACAATGCAGAGTTCTGTTTTGGTAGCCATAGCTGTGGCTCCTTGATAATATTATCCTTCTCATTCTCACTGGATTCTTGAGCAGCCAGGCGCCGGGCTGTCCTGGTAGGAGGCCTTCGTTTACCAGTCACTTTGATCCTGTTCTGTGAGCAAAATGGACAGGAGGTTGGGTTATGAATATGAAGGGAAATGCACTTCAGGCATCATAAACTATGCTCGTGCTTGTAAACATGTTGGGTGGCCTTCACATAAATTTATTCAGGCTACATCTTTAACATAGCTTTGTGTTTTCCTAGCATATGATGGGGACATAATGACCGCCCCCAAAATCTAACAACAAACCTGATAGAGACTTTTTCATTTCATAAAAATAAGTGTACTTTTGAGAAATATTAAGAGAGGGACAACAGTGTGCTAACACTGATTTAGCCTCAGAACAACTCAGAAAAATTAAAGACAGATGGGCTGGACCCCCCTTGGGTAATCTAGAAAGTACCTCAGCATCACTAGCAGTCCATTTTTAAAAAGGGAAGAGAGAGAGGTAGGCAAAACAGAACACTCCAGGTCACAGAGGCTCAATCCTCTCCTGTATGCAATTCCACAAGGTTATTCTAGAGCAACAATTCCCAGGCAAATGACTGGCTGGTGTCCCATGGCTGCTCCTCACACTATCAGCTCCTTTTGGTAGGCTATTTAATTTGGCACAGAACACTCCCTGGCAGTTATTGCTTAATTAATGTTAGTTAAATAAAATGAACATGAATGAAGTATGGGTACAAAGGTCCTTTACTGGTCTGGATGACTGTAATGTAACTCACTGCTTGGACTTTGACAGCAGTCACTAATCTAGCAGCTATCATCCTGCCACATCCCATTTCAAATTCTATAAGTCACCTTTCATCTGAACATCTTCCATTTTAGAAAAGCCTGAAAAAAATTAACTGTTTGTAGGTTTTTCATTATTTTTAAAAAGTCTCCTGCAGTTAATTGTTCTGCTGTTTTACTTGAGAAACCCTGAAGCTTTTATTAGAGTTTCTGTAGTCCTGAACATCAGCAGAGAGATTTTAGAAGAGGCACGAGAGCAGTTATACTGGCATGCACACTTTGGGTGGATCTGAAGAAAGATGTAGCAGCACCCCTTCCTGTCTGACCACATGGCAGGAGCAACAGCCAGGGACTTAAAGCCCCTAAAGAAAGTAAGAATTCTCCCCTTGCTTTCCCCTGCATGCTTAGAGGCACATCCCCGCCCTCCCATACCTGCTGCTGCTAATGTCCCCACTATCCTGAGAGCAGGGGCAACACCTGTCCCACTCTATAGTCAGGATGTACAGGGGCTAGGTTTAACCCAGGATAGCAGCAGCAGTGGAGGGTGAGCAGGCTAACTCTCCCTGCTCCTGGGGTGGCAAAGAACAACTGCGGGGAGCAGGCAGGGAGGAGGAATCCACCCATCCATATCCAAGACTGAGCCCAGCACCCACTCAGTCCAGCTGGAGCAGACTGGTTCTGTAGATGTGGTGTACCTTGATTTTAGCAAGGCTTTTGATACAGTCTCCCACAACATTCTCACAAGCACACTAAGGAAGTATGGGCTGGGTGAATGGACTGTAAGGTGGGCA